AAGAAGCTTCAGGCTGGGCGTGGTGGCTCACACGTATAATCCCAGCACTCTGGGGGCTGAGGTGGGTGGATCGCCTGAGGTCAGGAGTTCGAGACCAGCCCCCATCTCTACTAAAAATACAAAAATTAGCCAGGTGTAGTGGTGGATATCTGTAATCCCAGCTACTCAGGAGCCTGAGGCAGGAGAATCACTTGAACCCTGGAGGCAGAGGTTGCAGTGAGCTGACATAGCACCATTGCACTCCAGCCTGGGTGACAGCGTGAGACTCTGTCTCAAAAAAAGAGAAAGCTTCAGAGAAAGTTTGCACTGTTTTGTCCTTCCACGCCTTCCACCACGTAAGGACACAGTATTCCTCCTCTCTGGAGGATGCAGCAACAAGGCACCATCTTGAAAGCAGAGAGTGACCCTCATAACACACCAATGCTAATGCCTCACTCTTGAACTTCCCCATCAAGAGCTGTAAAAAAATACATTTCTGTTCTTCATAAATTAACTAGTCTGTACTATTTTGTTATAGCAGCACGAGTGAACTAAGACACTAGGTTTTTAATTTTATAACGTTCTTTCCTTCTGTAGCTATTTCTCTTGTACCGAAACATCTTTTGGGGCTATTTTCTTCAGGTCTTTTTTTTCTTCTTTCTGTCAAACAGTACTGAGTGAGTGTCGCCCCAGCAGACAAAAATGATAAAATATAAAGTCATGACACTTTGTCTCCCGGGAAGGATTCATCATCACCTCAGGGCAGCCAATCTATATTTAAATGCGAAAGTTATACGTAAGTAAAGAATAAGGAGGCGCTTCCCTTTTATTCTTAGAAAGATGATTAAAACTAAATGAACAATTATCTAAACATGACACAAATAATTAGAAAATTTTGACAATAAGGTGTAGATTTTAGATCTTTCCTCACTTCTCACGTGAGCATTTATTGCTATAAATTTCCCTCTACACAATGCTTTAAATGTGTCCCAGAGATTCTGGTATGTTGTGTCTTCATTCTCATTGGTTTCAAAGAACATCTTTATTTCTGCCTTCATTTAATTGTTTATCCAGTCATCATTTAGGAGCAAGCTGTTCAATTTCCATATACTTGAGCGGTTTTGGGTGAGTTTCTTAATCCTGAGTTCTAATTTGATTGCACTGTGGTCTGAGAGATTGTTATGGTTTCCGTTCTTTTGTATTTGCTGAGGAGTGATTCACTTTCAATTATGTGATCAATTTTACAGTAAATGCGATGTGGTGCTGAGAAGAATGTATATTCTGCAGATTTGGGGTGGAAAGTTCTGTAGATGTCTGTTAGGGCTGCTTGTTCAAGTTCTGCATTCAAGTCCTGGATATCCTTGTTGATTTTATGTCGAATATTGAAAGCGGAGTGTAAAGTCTCCCACTATTATTGTGTGGGAGTCTATGTCTCTTTGTAAGTCATTAAGAACTTGCCTTATGTATCTGGGTGCTCCTGTATTGGGTGCATATATATTGAGGATTGTTAGCTCTCCTTGTTGCATTGATCATTTTACCATTATGTAATGTTCTTCTTTGTCTCTTTTGATCTTTGTTGATTTAAAGTCTGTTTTATCAGAGACTAAGATTGCAACACCTGCTGTTTTTTAAAGTCTGGTTTAAAGTCTGTTTTATCAGAGACTAGGAATGCAACCCCTCCATTTGCTTGGTAAATCTTCTTCCATCCCTTTATTTTGAGTCTATGTGTGTCTTTGCACATGAGATGGGTCGCCAGAATACAGCAACAAAATTGAAAGAGATAGAGGAGCAAGATCAAAAAAAAATTCAAAAGCTAGCAAAAGACAAGAAATAACTAAGATCAGAGCAGAACTCAAGGAAATAGAGACACAAAAAACCCTTTAAAAAAAAAATCAATAAATCCAGGAGCTGGTTTATTGAAAAGATCAACAAAATAGACAGACCTCTAGCCAGACTAATAAAAAAGAAGAGAGAAGACCCGAATAGATGCAATAAAAAATGATAAAGGGGATATCACCACCGATTCCACAGAAATAAAAACTACCATCAGAGATTACTACAAACAACTCTATGCACATAAACCAGTAAACCTGGAAGAAATTGATAAATTCCTGGACACTTACACCCTCCCAAGACTAAACCAGGAAGAAGTTGAAACCCTGAATAGACCAATAATAAGGGCTGAAGTTGAGGCAGCAATTAATAGCCTACCACCCAAAAACAGTCCAGGTCCAGATGGGTTTACACTCAAATTCTACCAGATGTACAAAGAGGAGCTGGTACCATTCCTTCTGAAATATTCCAAACAGTACAAAATGAGGGACTTCTCCCTAACTCATTTATGAGACCAACATCATCCTGATACCAAAACCTGGCAGAGATATAACTGAAAAAGAAAACTTCAGACCAACATCCATGATGAACATTAACGCAAAACTCTTCAACAAAATACTTGCAAACTGAATGCAATCGCACATCAAAAAGCTTATCCACCATGATCAAGTAGGCTTCATCCCAGGGATGCAAGGCTGATACAACATATGCAAATCTATAAATGTAATCCATCACATAAACAGAACCAAAGACAAAAACCACATAATCATCTCAATAGATGCAGAGAAGGCCTTCAACAAAATTCAACAGCTCTTTACGCTAAAAACTCTCAATAAACTAGGTATTGACGGAACGTACCTCAAAATAATAAAAGCTATTATGACAAACCCACAGCCAGTATCATACTGAATGGGCAAAAACTGGAAGCATTCCCTTTGAAAACTGGCACTAGACAAGGATGCCCTCTTTCACCATTTCTATCAATATAGTATTGGAAGCTCTAGCCAGAGCAATCAAGCAAGAAAAAGAAATAAAGGGTATACAAGTAGCAAAACAGGAAGTCAAATTGTCTCCATTTGCAGATGACGTGACTATATATAATAAGACCCCAACATCTCAGCCCAAAAATCTCCTTAATTTGATAAGCAACTTCAGCAAAGTCTCCAGATACAAAATCAATGTGCAAAAATCACAAGCATTCCTATACACCAATAACAGACAAACAGAGAGCCAAATCATAAGCAAACTCCCATTCACAACTGCTACTAAGAGAATAAAATACCTAAGAATACAACTAACAAAGGATGCGAAGGACCTCTTCAAAGAGAACTACAAACTACTACTCAAGGAAATAAGAGAGGACAAACAGATGGAAAAATATTCCATGCTCCTGGTTAGGAAGAATCAATATCGTGAAAATGGCCATATTGCCCAAAGTAATTTATAGATTCAATGCTATCTCCTACCATTGACGTTCTTCACAGAACTGGAAAAAAACGCTTTAAACTTCATATAGAACCAAAAGAGAGCCCGCATAGCCATGACAATTCTAAGCAAAAAGAACAAAGCTGGAGACATCACGCTACCTAATTTCAAACTATACTACAAGGCTAAAGTAATCAAAACAGCATGGTACTGGTACCAAAACAGAGATACAGACCAATGGAACATAACAGAGGCCTTGGAGGCAATGCCACACATCTACAACCATCTGATCTTTGACGAGCCTGACAAAAACTAGCAATGGGGAAAGGATTCCCTGTTTGATAAATGGTGTTGGGAGAATTGGCTATCCATGTTCAGAAAGCAGAAACTGGACCCCTTCCTGACACCTTACACTAAAATTAACTCCAGATGGATTGAAGACTTAAACATAAGACCTAACACCATAAAAACCCTAGAAGAAAAAACCTAGGCAAAAACCATTCAGGACATAGGCATAGGCAAGTACTTCATGACTAAAACACCAAAAGCAATTGCAACAAAAGCCAAAATAGACAAATGGGATCTAATTAAACTTAAGAGTTTCTGCATAGCAAAAGAAACAATCATCAGGGTGAACAAGCAACCAACAGAACTGGAAAAAATATTTGCAATCTACCCATACGACAAAGGGCTAACATCCAGAATCTACAAAGAACTAAAGCAGATTTACAAGAAAAAAACAAACAAACCCATTCAAAAGTGGGCAAAGGATATGAACAGCTACTTTTCAAAAGAAGACATATATGAGGCCAACAAACATATGAAAAAATGCTCATCATTACTGGTAATTAGAGAAATGCAAATCAAAACCACATTGAGATACCATCTCACGCCAGTTAAAATGGTGATCATTAAAAAATCTGGAGACAGCAGATGCTGAAGAGGATGTGGAGAAATCGGAACACTTTTACACTGTTGGTGGGAGTGTAAATTAGTTCAACCACTGTGGAAGACAGTGTGGTAATTCCTCAAGGATCTAGAAACAGAAATTTCATTTGACCCAGCAATCCCATTACTGGGTATATATCCAAAGGACTATAAATCATTCTATTATAAGGACACATGCACACGAATGTTCATTGCAGCACTGTTTACAATAGCAAAGGCTATTTATTTTTATCTTGAATGAGACAGTAAGTACAGGTAATAGATCAAGAAGTACTACAATTTTAAAAGTATAAAAATGATATAAAATGTTTAAAAAATTAGTTTTTCCTCATAAGAAAATTCCTTTTTCTTTTTTTTTTTTGAGACAGGGTGTCTCTCTGCAGTGTGGTGGAATGATCAGAGCTCACTGCAGCCTCAAACTCCTAGGCTTAAGCAATCCACCCTCCCTCCCAAGTAGCTGGAACTAGACACATACACAACTACATCTGGCTAATTTTTTATTTTTGTATAATTCCATTTATATGAAATATCCAGAATAGGCAAACCAATAAATAGGAAGTTAATTGCTGGTTGCTAGGGACAGCGAGGAGGGAGGACTTGGGGAGTTCCGGTTTCATGGATACAGGGTTTCATTTTGGGATGATAAAAAATGTTTTGGAACTAGACAGAGGCAATGGTTACACAACATTGTGGATGTCAAGCACCAATGCCACTGAATTGTTCTCTTTAAAATGGTTAACTTTATGTTACATGAATTTCATCTCAATACAAATAAATAATAAAAGCATTGCAAGGAAAAAATGTGGAAAGGGGCATATCAAACAAGAAAGTCTTAATGAAAAAGAAAAGACATTAACATTTTTTTAAAACAGGAGGGTTTGGTCATGGAGCTGGTTGATCTTAAAAATCCTATCCCATTCATTCACATCAAGCTGTCCAAACCTAGTAACTGGAAAGGTCCCACGACGCTGAGCTCTAGACCTCTAACGCGAAAACTAGAATTCTAGAATTATCCGGTATTTTTCCTTTCCTGAAAATTCCATCTTCAATTGGGGTATATGGGTTCAAGAGCCATATTTATGAACCCAAATTCAGGACACATACTCTGGTACAGGGACAATGGATGGTGTGAAGAATATCCAGGGTATCTGTTGAAACTGCAGCCCTCTCAATGACTCTAATACTCAAGGGATTAAAAAAATCCAGCCCCAGAAGTTTTAGATATAAAAATAGTAACAACTCAACTGAATTTGACTGCATTTAAATAACATAACTATTTCCAAATCTACTGAGCAGCTGAACAATCTTCAGGGAAGCCTATGGTCACTGTGATTTGAAGGTTCCAGCTCTTGGGAGCCCTGGGCCCTTTTATGCCTATGGGATTTATCTCAGCTCCTATGACTACACCCTTCAGAACACCTGTTGTACAGGCTAGAATGTGTGTCTGAGCTCTGCCCTCTGTCCCTATTCCTGGTCTTTCCTTTTGCCTCCCTCCTGCTTGAGGCCTTAGGCTAGTGGCTGGGTTTCTCCTTCTTCAGCTCCCGCTCTAGGTCCTCTGCTCCACCAGAGCAGGCAGTCCTGGCCTCGGGGAGCTTCCGCCCCTCCCTGGGCTCTGACTTCTGAGCTATCTCTGAGTTCTTGTTGCTGTTTTTCTTAGGGCCAGGTCATCCTTTTCCTTTAGTGTCTTGTTTCTGAATGATGAAGAGGATGGTTGTTCTGCCTGTACCTCCCAGTCAGTTTTCTCTCTTTATTTCCTTTTTTTCCTGTTTGTCTTTTTTGTGCTTTTTTTGTTGGTTTTTCATTTGCAGAGCTCTGACACAAATTCAGTGAGGGGGTATGAGCCCCACAGCCCTTCTCTGGAGCTCTTTGGTCACATCATCTATTTCTTCTGACGCCTTAGGAGCCCGATACTTAGACACTTGATCCACTGAGATAGTTCTTCCTTTGATCTTGATCCCATTAAAATTGTCAACAGCCAGAATTGTGCTCCGCTGGTCTTTACAGGAAAGGAAACAGAATCCTTTGGATTTCCCATTCTTCTTGTCCTGCACAAGATTAATGTTAACAATCTCCCCATGTTGTGAGAACACACAGATGATGTCCCCTTCAGTCAGTTCATAAGGAAGTCCTCCCAGGAAAATCCAGGTGCTGTCCTTGCACTTGGAGTGCCAGGACACCTTATCGACCACCCCAAGATGGACCTATCACTCATTCAGTTCGTTAATCAGCTTCACCTTAAAGGGTTCATGTCTGTGGGCTTGTGCCCAGCGTTCGGGTACAAGTGCCTGAGCAAGGCAGCGTGGTACATGCCCTGGCTAATTTTTGAAATTTCTTGTATAGACGAGGTCTGGCTATCTTGCCTAGGTTGGTGTCAAACCCCTGGCCTTAAGTGATCCTCTTGCCTTGGCCTCCCAAAGTCCTGGGATGACAGGTACGAGCAACTGCACCTGGCCTTCATAAGAAAATTCTAACATTGATTTTCAAGCGTTCATTCTGGGGGTAAATTATATTGTCATTATCTCTTGTGGCCAACTAACGATTATCACTGCTCACACATCCACATCGACACCTGCCTGATTCCCTTCTTCAGCTGATTATCTGAGAACATTTATTCTTTGGCCAGCCAGCTGAGAGATGTGGCTGTCCGCACCGAGTCATCAGACTGTTACTAAACACGTGAGGATTAAAATACACGGGTTTTAAAACTTTTCTAGTTGCGTACCCTTTTTCAAATATAATATTCTCAGATGTGCCTACTAAGTGGAATGGACCAAATAAAAGCTTGAGAGGTGGATGGATAACAGCAGAGTCGGTGAGGGAGCTCTGGTGGGTCCCCGCCTGCTCTTTTGACCTCACACCAGCCAAGCACAAAGCGGGCTTCTCAGAGCACAATCTGAAGACCACTTTCAGACATTTTCAAAGTCTTAGTATTCTGCTGAAATTAAAACTGTGTTCCTCAGGACATATCGGTTAAGTTAATTAGCTTAACTTTTCTCATGTCTTCCTCTGTGACTCTGACTTTGTGGGGTGGTCAATGCCCTTCCCAGTCATTCTCCAGTCACCTGGGGAACTCAGCTGACTACTCGCCTTTCTCCTGTAGAGTAGCCCCCTCCGCATGCACAATCTTCCACCATCCTAGAATGCCCTTGACCCCCTTTTCTGCATGGGGAACTCCCCCCTTGGTCATCAGGCTATAATAATCTCTGATTCTGAACCTCTTAAACACTCTTCTTCCTCCTAACAAACACACCCACACAGACTCCATGTTCCACCACGCACACCATCATGTCTGTCTCTCTCAGAAGAACAGATGCCTCCTTCATCAATTCTTCAGTATTGCACATATCACATTGGTAACTTGGAAAATATTTTTTATTTGCTCCATAGATATATTTTCCTGCCTAGAATATGAGCTCTTCCAGGGAAGGGGCTATCTTTTTCCTCTTTATATACCCAGTAAATAGCACAGTGCCAGGTTCACTTCGGTCCCCTAATAAATGTTAACTGAATCATGACAAATCCTTTCTCCCATACTTTGGCTCCAAATGTAAAGGGTAAAATAACTATAAATAAAATACGTCAAATGTTTCAGTTGCAGGCCATTGCTAAACAAGCTACATTCTAAGAGTTTGTTTAAAAATTGGTTCTTTGAAACTCAGAAATTGAATTCTTTAAATGGGAAACAGACCATCAAAGTCTCTTTGAGCCTACAAAAGTACTGAAGAATGGTTTCAACAGCACGTGTTCAGCTGTACCTAACCACCATCCATAAAATTGTTTCTGTGGGCAAGTGGAATCCAAGGTCCATTCTGGACACCAGAAATCTATTCAGTGGTGGCTTTGATTTTGTCGTAGAAAGGACTGAAGGGGAGCAATTATGCATGCAGAGAAGGTTGCATATGCATATACAGTAAATTCTTCTTAGACTGTATGATTACTTTGAGGAGGGGCAACAGGTTAAACATCCTCATGCATTCATTGCCTTTCCTGACACTGATACTGTGACTATGGACTGCCAGAGGCAGCAGCCCCGGCCACCACTGGAGGAAAAAGAAAAGAGCAGAAGGAAGGCGAGGGGACGGGATGACAGCAGAGGCTCTCAAAGCGTGTTCCCAGTACCAGCAGTGTCACCATGACGGGAACTTGTTAAAAATGCAGTCTTGGGTTCCAACCCAGACCTACTAAATCAGGAATTCTAAGAGTGGGGCTTATCCCAGAAGAAAAAATGAGAAAAGTTATGCAACCAGTGCTTTAACAAGCCTCTCCAGTAACGTATGCTCAAGTTAGAGCGAGGCTTTTGGGCACCAATAACCTATTCTTAAAATTCACTTCAACTGCAGAAAATGAGGTACAGATAATAACACTATGAATGAATAGGAGAAGGTCCCTTCTAAGCCAACAGTTCTCAATCTTGCTGCACTGTAATCACCTGGGAGCTTTAAAAAATACTGATGCCTAGGCACCACCCCCAGAGATTCTGATTTAATCAGTCTGGGATTTGGCGTGAGCACTGGGAGTGTTAAAAGCTCCCAGGTGATTCTAATGTGAAGCCAAGAATGAGAAACCACTGTTCTAAGCCAACTGCTACATAATTATCTCCCAAAGCTGCCAACCTGCTAGGAAACAGTGAAACACACACACACAAATAAAAGGGCTAGGTTCACTTGCTAGTAATTTATATTTCAAGGTAATAAAATCTCTAAGACAGTGATTTAATAATGTTCGGGAAGAGGCCCCTTCAGCTCCCAGCAGTTTGGATATTACATGGCAGCCATGAAGGACAGAAGGTTATGAAGCTGTGGTCATAGCCTCTATGCTGGTGAAAGAAGACATCTGTGACAATAAGTAGGCATGCCATCTTGGACGGCTAGGTAGACTTACTTGGTAAAGTCCAACTCCATAAATCTCTACAACTTTGGGATTCAGAAAGCATATAAAGCCTGGACATCACCAAAGAAGTAATACCACTGAGGAGTTTTCAACATCCGAACTGTAATGGATTGGAGACAGAATTATCTCTGCCTAATTTTCTACCCATGACCTTGCTGGGGAAACTCCCTAGTTCCTTCTGATCTCTCCTACCAGAAAGTCTGGATTCAACACTCAAGCACTGTAGGTGGGTCTTGGCGTTAGCTCAGTTGGTTGGCCAAGACCTGGACTAATATCAGGTGGCCTTGGCTACATGAAGTTGAGATGCCAGTGATTTTTATGTGCAGTGTATGATATAATTCCATGACTATCTCAAGTGTTCTGAATCTTTGCGAGGCAGTGTGAATTTCTTACAAAATACCCACAAAACAAACAGGAAAACACACTTCTAAAGTTATTTTCATGGCATAAAATAGTTTACAAAAAAGGAAACCTCTTTCACTATTATTTCACCTCTTCTAGGAGCAAATAAGTCTCATGTTCCACCTAATCATGGCTCCCTTTCTCATCTGACTTGTAGACTGATACAAGACTACGGGTTGTTCCAACCACATTTGCATCAGTTCAGATCCTTCTGTCAGCTCAGACTGGTTAACCTTACAGGAAGTTAGAAGAATGACAAAACCAAGCACTAAAATATGGTTATGATAACTGGCTTGGTTATAAACCATGGTTGAGAAGCACAATCTAGTGCTACACTGCCGGGATTCACGGCTTTGCCCAATTACTTATACGGCCTTGGACATGTACAAAACAGGGATAATAATAGCACCTACCTCGTAGGGTGGTTAGGAGGACTGTGTCAAGTTTTTGTGACTTCCTTTTTGACTTTTTTGTGTCGTTTACCTTTTCTAAAAAATCCATGTCATTTTTTTGTCACCAAATTTTAAAAATAAGCCTGGGCCAGACGTGGTGGTTCACACCTGTAATCCCAATACTTTGGGAGGCCAAGGTGGGAGGATCACTTGAGCCAGGAGTCTGAAGCCAGCCGGGGAAACATAGGGAGATCATGTCTCTACCAGAAAAAATAAATAAATAAAAATTAGCCAGGCATGGTGGCACGTGCCTGTAGTACCAGCTACTCAGAAGCCTTAAGTGGGAGGATCACTTGAGCCTGGACATCGAGGCTGCAGTGAGCCATGACTGTGCCACTGTACTCCAGCCCGGGCAAGAGAGCAAGGCCCTGTTTCCAAAAAAAAAAAAAAAAAAAAAAAAAAAAAAAAAAAATAGGCCTTGTTTTTTAGCATATGATTGAATGAGCTGATAAAGTAACTAAAAGAGTCTCATACTAACAGGAATGGTAGTTATTACCATTTTCATTTTAAATAACAGGAAATTAAGACATAGACAATGTTAAATGATCGAAGTTCAGCTATGAAGTTATTTGTAAAATGAAACTAAAATAGAAACAATATAGTGTAATCTAAAGGACATGAGTTTTGAGGGTCAGACAGCGCTAGGTTCAGAATCCTTCTATGCCTACAAGTACCTTTTGCAAATTATGTAACCTCTCTGAAACTCAGTTTTATTATCTGGACAATGAGATTACTGGTAATAATAGCTAACATTTATTGAGTGCTTACCACATGGGAAGCATTATAGCAAGACCTATAAATGTTTTATCTCATTTGCTCCTCACGGAAAGTCTGAGGTACTGTCTTCCTTGTTTCATCCTTGTTTCATAAGGGTGTAGGAACTGAAGCACAGAAGGGTTAAATGAGTGGCCCACCGCTAGTAAATAGTGAACTAGGACTTGAACCCAGGCCGATCAACTTCAGCCATATGAACTTCAGAAGGAGATTATGAGAAGATAGCAAGACACTCAAGAAATTATTTGCTTTTACTCCTTTGATTCACTGGAATGTATGGCCCTAAAATTTTAATTTTATGTTACAATAAACTTCTAAGCGGTATGTGATTCTCTTATACCGCTCACATTAAAGATAACTGCTTGATATGCTTGTTTCACTGAGAAGTGGTGGCCCGTACCAGGGCAGGTGACAAGGACAGTGGTTCTTATTCATCTGGGCAGCAGCTTCAGTGCTAATTCTAAACACAGGTGGTGAGAGAGACAGCCAACAGGAAGGGGGAAGGAATCACTGCTGACATGTGCAACTGGGAAGATTGATGGTTTCCCTCTCTCTTTTTCCCCAATGTGTCCGCCTGGGAGCAGAGACGTAGAGGCCGCTGTGCTGAGGACAGTAAAATACACAGCACAGTGTCTGCCTGGCTGCAACACTGATTAATGAGACCAAAATGACACAGAAAACAGGCAGTGCTTCAGAAGGAGAATTCACAGGCATTTCTTTATTTAATCATTTCAACAAAAGCAGTTCCCATAAACTCCCAGGTTTGAACTAGAATTCCCTGTGGTTAGAGCAACGCAGGGGTATATTTGGTGGGATGCGTGGATCAAAGACAGAGAGTGTAAAGGAAGTTTGTAATAAAGCAAATTCACTAATCGTCGGCTGGGTACAAACTTAGGAATTCCTCTCCTTTCTCTGATTGACCAAAAAATTCACAAATGTCCAGGTAAGATACTTTTTGCCTACCTAACTTAGTGTAGAGATGATATGAGAATGCATAATCACAAGGAATTACACCCTGTTAAAGCATTCTTGCTTTTCAGAACTAGCAGACAGTGGCAGCAATTCTTCATGTTTTACCACAGCTGCATAGTTTACACATTTAAAATGATACTATCTTTATTAAGAAAGACGAATATTAACATCAAATATTATTTTTTGTACTTACTATCACCTATCTTCCTTCCCACCAGCAGCTCTTCAAACTTAATACTATATCCCAAACTAAATCCACTGACCCATGATCTTCAGGTCAACTCTCCCCTATTCTGCAATGTATTCTCAATTTTAAAAATATGCAGTAAACTATTGCTTTTACTTAAAAATACAAAATAAATAAACATGCCTATAAATTTTCTTTGAAGCTCTTTATAAAAACTTATTTTCTAAAAAAATGTTATTGTGTATATTTAAGGTATACAGCATGATGTTATGGGATACATAGAGAGAGTAAAAAGGTAGACAACCATCTACTCAGTCTCCTAACCTTAAGATTCATCCCCAACTCCTTCCTTTCCCTTACCAGATTCTGTGGATTCAAATCCTGACTCCTCCAATTACTAGCTATGTGATCTTTGGCAAGTATTTGTTCCTCAGTTTCATCACCTGAAATAAAAATTTTAATAGTACTGATTTACAGGAGAATTGCAAGAATGAAACAATACATAAAAAGTTCTTAGATTGGTACCTGGCGCATAGAAAATGCTTAATAAATATTAGCTATCTTCATCATCTGATCATTTACTGAATCATCAGGGATGTTACTAAATACGATTTCATTTCTCCATCTCCATCAATGTAGTCTAAACCTCAATTATCTCACCCACGCTGTTTCAATAGCTGTTTTCTGGGTTTTTTACCTTCTACACTATTACCTGGACAATCTTTTAAAAATAATGAATCTCTACTGATTCTTCCTTTTTCAGAGTCAAATCCAAACCCTTAATTTAGTGTATAAAATCCTTCATAATCTGACTTCAAATACATGTACAGTCCTTAGACATAGTAAGGGCAATTATCCCCATGACACAACATTAATTAGGCAAGCGAGAAGTCTTATGAGAAATTTAGGGTTAAAGTTCTACATCTAACATTTTATAACATGTTATTTTTCACTGATTATCTTAACACTAGAGTAAGTATCATATTCACCTAAAAACCACTGAGTAATTTTTAGAATCTATAATTTAAGACCTAAAGCATAAAAAAAAAACTTATTTACATGCCACTATTTTAGATAAGATTAAATTTAATGTACTTCCATTGCTTGGTGTAGTGGGTTGAATCATGTCCCTCCAAAATTCATGTCCACCTAGAACTTCAGAATGTGACCTTATTTGGAAATAGGATCTTCAAAGATGTAATCAGTTAAGATGAGGTCACGCTGGATTATAGTGGGCTCTAAATTCAATGACTGTTGTCCTTAAAAGAAGAGGAGACACACAGACACACAGAGGGAAGAGGGCCTTGTGACCATGGAGGCACAGATTGGTGTGCTGCAGCTACAATTCAAGAAAATCCCAAGG